CATAGAATGCCAATTTAATAGAAGAAAGTATTCTTGCATTGAGGGAGTACTTGAGTGGAGGCCCAATGTCCTTCTGCTACCTTAATACTACACCTCTAAATATAGGCACATAGATCTATTTCCCCATCCTCATATAAATATATCTGCATATGTACATGTCTTTATCTAGACCTCTACAAATGCCCTTTGCCTCCCAGCTCTTTCCTATAGTTCCCTTGATTTTCCTCCTGCCCCACTATCATGCTCAGTCCCCACCAGGGTGAAACCCTTTTCAACACGAACTTTTGCTTGAAGTTTTTTTGTATTTTGCTGTGTTATCTATGCAATAGAGTATGGGTAGATTATGTGTTGAAAAATTGGTCATTCTTTTAAACTTTTTGCTGTGACTTGAGTCAAGATTTACACAGTAGATGGGTAATCCACTCAGCAATCCACACGTTTTGTTTCATCTCACTGATTGTAACCCACTCAGTGTACCCAGCACACAGCCTACGTCCTCCCCGTGTACCTCCAGTCCTCCGTCTCCTGTAACACTTCTGAACTTTGTCCATGGGTAAATGCTGTCCTTTTGATCTCAAATAGACCTGTCTATTATTTGGCTAAAAACTGAGTCAATTGAGTCGATTTCTAGACCTAAAGAGTAACTAAGGGCCATAGTCTCAGGGAGTCTCCCTAGTCTAGCTAACCAGTAAACCTGGTCATGTTAGATTTTGAGTTTTGTTCCACATTTTTCTTTCACTCTATTTAGCACTTTTTTGTGTGATTCTTTGCAGAACAGATGGTAGTGATAACTGGGCATCTAGCTCTGGTCTTAGGGTCCTGAAAATTGATGTTTTCATGGTTCATTGGGCTACTTGTTTCCATGTGTCTTAGATTTTCTTCACACTTTGCTTTCCTGCGGTCAAGGAGAGATCAATAGTTGTACGTTAGATAACTATTCACAAGCATTTTAAGACCATAGTTGCTGCTAAGCAGCATAAGATAGAGGACAGGCCCAGTGACACTTTATTTCAGTGTGTGTGGATATGTCAGACGTTTTCATAGCTTTGTCCCCTGTATGCTTTACCACATTCATGAATACATTTGCAGCTTAGAGAAATACACATGCAGAAATGTCCTCTGTTAAACTTAAGTGTATTTGTGGGTATAATCCCACTCTCCAGCCAGTACCTGTTCAGCCTGCATGCACTGTTCCTGCAGGATTGTGTGTTTATGCAGCAGGATCTGTTTATACCTTTGTTGCCCTAAACTCTTGGACTCTCCCCAGTGTCTTCCCCCGCCTCTATCACATTTTGCTGACTTCCCTCTTATTGTATATTACCTTCCCATGTACCCAGGTTAACACATGTCTACCCCCCAACCCCGGTGGCTTTCCCTTTTCCCTCCCATCTCTAGTACCATCTAAGAATTTCTTTTCTTGTTTTTTTTTTTGTTTGTTTGTTTGATATTTGCAATAGTGGTCTCATTTGCCTTTTTGTGATTTTCTTATTTCACTCACCATTATGCAATCATCACTTATAAAAACCAATTTTCAGATAACCTATGGAGAAGAGTTAGCATTAAGGTGGTTATCTTAAAATGTTAAGACTACTAGTAATCATATTCCTATTAGAATATTATATTCTACTCATATTGAGAGGCTTCAAAAAGTTCATGGAAAAAATTCCATTATCTTTTGGTTTCATTTCCACAAGCTTTTTGAAGCCTCTTCATGTATTATTTTTCCTTTACTCTATTTGGTGTAGTTTTTTTGATGGGTGGTTGTCTGAGCAGGTTCTTCTAGATTTGGGTAAAAATGCATAGGTGATTTTTCTCTCATTTGTTTGCTGAAGATGTGTCTTTTTTCCCTTCCCAAGTCAATCACCTTCTGCTGCTTGGATGGGTGGTTTTGGTGCTCAGCCTCCCCAAGGACAAGCTCCGCCCCCTGTAATACCTCCTCCGAACCAAGCTGGATACGGTATGGCAAGTTACCAAACACAGTGAGCGAGCCGGGACTCTTAAGAAAAATTGTAATTCCTGATAGGCTTCGGTTTCCTGTGACACTCTGAAGACATGAAAGTAGACATCAGAAAAAGAAAATATTTATTTTAAGCCTTGAAATGTTTGGACCCTTAGCACAGCTTTGCTCTGGTGAAGGACACATGTCTTCTAGTTCTGCCTTTTTAAGTTTTTGTTCATGATGGATATGAACATGATTTTTCTTTGTGTACAAAAACGAAAATAAAGTCAATAAAGACAATTCTGACTTCAAATTTTGATATAATAGAAGTGGGTGATACATTTTGAATCTTAGGTAAGATTCCATTTTTACCTTGCTGTTCAGTATTTTAATTCACTGTGTTTTTTAAATGAGCTAAAGGAGGATTGTGAAAATCTGGGAATCACATGTAAGTTCGTCCTGATCCTCCTTGCCCCAAGGTGGACCACCCTGGAGGTCAGCCGGCGGAACAAGGGGTGGCATACTGAAGAAGTGCGTGGTTTGGGAGCCACTGTGGAGGAATACTTTCTCTGTGCCTACGGAAACTGAAGGCAGAGTGACACTGAATATTGGCCACTCTAACAAGGACCAGCGCTGTCTGAGTTACTTGAGTGAATGTTGGGGATCCACATTCAGAGATTTTTTAAAACATCAAGTGTTGGTTATTAAAACTAGTAAGTTACGTTTCATTGCGGGCAGAAGGGGTTTCAGGTATGGTGTTTGTATTCAGGTCAGACAGTCATACTTGTGCTTTTACCTGTGGTTTTGATGCCACCTTGTCAATATGGAATAACTGCCGTGTTTAAAAAGCATGCTTCAACATAGAAGTAGCTGCAATGTAATAACCTGCAGTAACACTTCACCCACTCCGCTGCTTTGAGGGCAGTGGAACGATAAGAATGTTCAAGACTGACATTTCCAAGGTTGGCTACTGTGTAAAATTAAAATTACACAAGTTATACAGAAAAAGCCTTAATTTGAATTTCATACAAATCTTGAATGCATTGGTATATTTTTAAATGTCATTGGAAATCAATTGGTTTCATTTGGTTTTCTTTTTTTTTTTTGCTTTATGTTACTTGGTATGTAAATACCTTGATTCAAAACCTTGTATACCAATTCAGTTTCAAGGTTCCTATAAGTTGTGTAGTCTAGGTGTTTTTTAAAATCTTGGGGTGTTTTTTAAAATCAGATATATTTTGCCCAATAATTTTTTTAACAAATGGCTGATACATCTTATTTACACAGTTGGTTCACTGTACCAATTTGTAATTGGATTTTCCGTTTTAGTAGTATATACAGTTGTGACTTTTATGTGTATTTGTCTTCTCCATGGACCGTGTGTGTGGAATGACAGGCCTGACAGGAGGAGCCTGTGCTGTGTGCAGAGTTTGTTACTGAATCGATCGGGAAGATGCAGAAGACTTGAGGGTAGGTTCTGAGATACTTCTCAGACTACGTAGATGAAAACTGCCTCAACTTTCTATCGAAACAGGAATGTAAAATAGATGAAACCCGACCTCTGTGAAATGTGACAGCCAGGGGGTGCACGTGCTTCAGCGCTGGATTTGAAACACGGAGAACCCTGGGCACCAAAATGTAAACTAACTCTACAGTTAGGTAGCAGGATGCAACTTGTACCCACAAATTACTATTTTTTAAAACCTTGAAGTCTTGCAAACCGCTATCTTTAAAATAATGACGGTTTTTATAAATTAGTAACCACAGTAATTTTGGTATTACTTTCCTTTGTAGCCCATTTGCAAATGATAGCCAAATGCATTCAGCATAAAAACTTAGGAGGGTCTGAAGTTGTCTTTGGACCACATTCAGTATGGCACGTTCTTTAGTCCTCCCTGCGATGGGCATCTGTTACAAAGTTTACCCTGGTGTCTTTGGTTCATGGTTAGTCTCTGGGGAATGTCTTTGAAGAGGTTAAATTTATATTTTATAAGGACAACATCCAAGAAGTTATATTAATTATGCCTCCTAGTTTTAAACAATTCAATAAATATGAAACGAATGACGTAACGACTTTTCTTTCTTATATTGATGATAGAGCCTACCAAGTTCTGTTTGCCTTTTTTGACCTGCCAGTAAATTAAGATGCTTTTTGAGAAAACTGACAGCTGAGTACAGCTGGAGCATTTCCTGGTTCTCCGCACTGGGGATGTTGCCATGTGAGCGTCGGACTGGAGCATCCTTTGACATACTACGAGAACAAGATCTCATGGTCAGTTCAGTTAGTGGAAGTTATTTCATAGTTAATGATGTTTTTGATTTTAATGTAAATCTGCTTTATCCAAAGCCGGTGCACCATTTCAAAATAGAACTGTCAAGATAGCAAAAGAGTCCGACTGTTGGAACACAAAATGAAGTCAAGTGCTCTCTTATCTTGATCCAGTTTAAGCCTAAGAATCGTTACCTTTCCTCTTCCATGTTTATTTAGAACGGCAGCAGGGATTCTTGGGCATGTGAGAAAATGGTTTCTTGTTTCAGAATTATTTTGAGATTGACGCCGGTGATGTGTTTCTGACTACCATCTTGCTCGAATTATTGATTAGCATTTCTCAATGCCATTCCCACTTGGATTTTTTCTGTCTGCTGGTGGTGAGAGACTGACATGGCTGACTGGCCAACTTAAGCCAAAGTTGTAACTCACAGTTGAAGTAAGTCTCAATAAAGACTAGATTATATGATAAGTGGTTTTTTCTTATTGTCTTTAATTACCTAACACTCCCAGACTGCCATGGAACAAACCGTGGGGGAGCATGTTCCTGGCATTGTGGACTCTGTACAGGTGCTAACATTTAATTTCCGTGTGGAGGTGTAGACATTGGCATCCTCCCAAAAGTGTGTGCTCTGCTGTTGGCTGTAGTAAAACCATATTAATTTGCGGTCCCCAAGTACGGGAGCAATCATTTTGCTATGCCTAGGAAATCGGGGGGTGTAGTGATGATGATGCATTGGGCTGCTACCCTCAAGGTCAGCAGTTCGAAACCACCAGCCTATCCCTTGGGAGAAAGATGGGGCTTTCTATTTCCATTAAGAGTTACGATTTAAAAAAAAAAAGTTACAATCTGGGAAATGCACAGGGTCATTTCTACCCTGTTCTGTAGGGTTGCTCTGAGCCAGAATGGACTGGCAGTGAGTTTTTGAGAAGCCCTGATAGTATGGTGGTTCCATACTCAACTGTTGACTAAAAGTTGTTGGTTCAAGCCCATCAGCCCCTCCAGAGGATGCCCAGGATAGACAGTTTACAGCCTAGAAGTCTCTTGGGCAGCTCTGTCTCAAAAATTCGATGACAACTAACAGTAGCTGGTTGATGTTTGATAGTTTCTTAGCATAACGAATTAAAACTTTTGTGGAAACATTCTGGACACTAAAAATAAATTGGGGTTTCTTGAAAGTGGGCACATCGAAGTTGCATTTTTAGTGTATATTTTTACCTGGAAATTACTTAAAATGTCATTCCAAGTTGTGCTGATTTGGTGTTTTGACACCATATTAATACGAAACCTGAACTCCCATCTACTTTTGACTTTGAAAGTACAGGTAAGCTAGGTGCTCTATTGCATAAATGGGTCTCTGTAAATCAGTCTTCAGGGGTGATAGGGCTTCTGCTTTGAGAACTACCTTAATTCCTTTTTTAAAATCCAGGAAATGGAGAAAATACTTGTTTCTTACCTGGGGGGTAAGATGGGAGGGAAGCTCTAGTAGGAATTGGGCTTTTATAAGAATTGGACTTTTGCTTGGAGGAAAATACAGATTTAAGATCCTCAACCCAGATCTAATACTTGGGTTAAATCTTAACTTTTCCAGACTTAGCATGGTCGGAACCCACCGACCATGTATTTCTCAGACGTCCACGGGAGCCATGTTCAGTGTCTGGAAACCAGCCTGGGAAGTCTGCAAACAGGAATAGAACATGCTGGTTCATAGCGGCTCGAGGAAAGGCAGCTTGACTGTGTTTAAAAAGACGCCTGGGTGTTGGTCTTGCAGCTGGCTTCACCTGGCCTGTGCACCTCCTGTTTTGACTGCTTTGTTCTTAAGAACTGACAAGAAGAAATTAAACAACTTTATTGTGAGTCAGATGAAAGTTGACAGAGCAGATCATCCATTGTACATTCAGTGGTTCATACACATTTTGTTTCAACTCAAAGATTGTGGTCCCCTCTGTGCACCATCACTTACCTACGTCCTCCCCATGTTTCCCTTCCTCTTCCTCCTCTCCTTCTCCCCTAGCCCTCTACACTTTGTCCTTGGGTCAGTGCTGCCCCTTTGATTCCAATCTCAACCTCCAAGGTTACTAAGGGCCCACCTGTCTTTCTGACCAGTAAGCCTGGTCTGTCTGATGTGTTTGAGTTGTCCCCACCCTATCCAGGACCTAGTGTGATCCTTTTCAGAGCAGCTGGGAGTGGTAGCCAGGCACCATCTAGTACAGTCTCAGGATTGTGGAGACTGTTGGCACAGCCCATTTGCCCACTGGGTTAATTGTTTCCATATGTCTTTTGCTTTTCATCCCCCTTTCCCTCAGCTGGAGAGGTGTTTCGTTCAGTTAACTGTATGGAGTCACTATGAGTCAGGGCTGACTCAGCAGGGTTGGCACCCTCACCACCAGGAGGGGAGCTACTCTGATGCATAAGCTTACGATTTCTGGTTTTAGAGCTAACTTCATGTGCCAGAATTTAAATTTATATCTGGGAAATAGAGAAAAATGTTTGTTTCTCACCAGGGGTGCCCGAATAGGAACCTTTTGACGCTCCTTTGTGTTAGACTACAGTTTGCTAAGAAGACCCAAAGCAAAAACGTAACTTTAAAAAAAATCATTTTATTGGCTCATACAACTCTTAGCACAATCCATACATCAATTGTATGTCAAGCACATTTGCTACATTCCAAAAACGTAACTTTTTATGGCACTTTTCACTGTGATGGTCATCTGTTGACACTTTACACTGGTTTCTTAGGTTCATGGTTTGTCAACAGTTTCATTGGCATATAATGCACATAATCATACAGTTCATTAGTTCAGTCACCTCAAGATGAGTTTATGTTTTTTTCATTTATGCCCTTGTTATTAGCTCCAGTTTCCCCTCATCCTCCTCTGCCACCCCCCTGAGAAACTATTAACCCGTTTACTGCCAGTAGAAAGCTTCGTCTTTCTCCCATAGAGTAGCTGGTGGTCTGGAACTACTGACCTTGTGCTTAGTAGCCCAAAGCATAATCATTCCGTCACTGGGCTCCTCCAAGCAGATTAG